GTATAAATGATTATTCAAATGAGTCCTGACTGATACAAGTAAGCTCTTTATTATTAACTAAAAGATCAGTGAATCAAATTCACCCAGAGGTACCTAGGAAAAAAGGCTTGGTGATTTACTAATTGCAATGTGGTGGTGGTGGTAGTTGGTGGTTATGTGCCGTGGAGTCGATTCCGACTCATAGTGACCCTGTACAGGGTTTCTGAGGGTGTAAATCTTTACGGGAGTAGAAAGCCTGATCTTTCTCCCACGGAGCAGCTGGTAGTTGCTGCAAAGGTGTCTCAGAAGCCATCTAGAGTTCTCATGACTAGTAAACATGCTATCTCCCTCAGCCACTTTCTAAAATACTTCCCCAAATGGCCATTTGGCTAGCTGTACCTTCATTGCCAAACTCGTATCTCCTCACAGGTAGAAGTGGAGACCCGGGCTGTGATCCAATGGCTGCGCTCCTTCAACTTTGTTCTTTCTGCCAATCTCCATGGAGGAGCGGTGGTGGCCAATTACCCTTATGACAAGTCCCTTGAGCATCGGTTCCATGGTTACCGCCGCACTGCCAACACCCCCACGCCTGATGACAAGCTTTTTCAGAAGGTATGCAAAATAGCAGCTTGGCCAACCACGGGTGGGCTATAATCAGAGGAACTTGAGGATCATGAGGTGAGCTTTCAAGTCAGCAGCACGGGAGGTTATTAGGAAAGAGTTCACATAAAAGAATTGAAAATGCCACCTGCTTGTTAGGAGTTTATTAGCCAGTAAATTATATTTTGTTTAGAGTGGTAAGCATAAATTCACTTTTTAAATGTTCATGTTAAAAAATGGTTGCAGTACAATCGTCAGTGACTAAACATTCAGAAGTGATCCACCACTCCTTCTTCCTAGTGTGTCTTCGTCTGAAAGCTCCCTCCGCTGAAACCTGTCTACCATGGGTGACTCTGCTGGTATTTAAAATACGGGTGGCATAGCTTTCAGAATCACAGCCACACACAAGCCACCACAGTACGACAAACTGACAGATGAATCATAATGTAGATTGTTGTTGTTGTTGTTGTT